CTAATAGGGTGATGTATAGTGAAGCACATTATATTGGCATCTGGTGAGTACTTAATGCACAGTTTTATCACAACTTCTGTTTCCAATTAGGGATATGATTAAAATAGTGGACTGAAACTACATGTTTAGCTTGCATGGTCTGTTGGGTAATTCGGGTTTTTGATTAAATGGTGAAGCTACAATTGTTTGGAATGCTGAGTTTTTTTTTTTTACATTAAGATTAATAGCCATTTTGTCGGGAGGGAAACCACCAATTACTTAAAATAGAAAATTACACTGAACAATGTTAATGAAATATTCTCCCGTAAGTCAGTGTTGCACTGTTGCGATACAATTTATTGAATTTACAAAAATTACACTGAACAATGGTGTCGGAATTAGAAATGCTTTCATAATTTGCCTTGGGATTTAAAATAGTTTGTTGTTTGTCCATGGTAAGAATTGACATTCTAAGCAAATATTTTGCTAATGTATTAAGTTTTTGCAAGAGACCTGTATAAGCTGTTTGTCCCTGATGATGGAAAAAGAACGACAATCAAGGTCAGCATGCAAGAATTTAGTGAACCTGACGCATTTTTCAAGCACATGGATGCATGATCTTGATATTTTGTCATTTCATTACATGCGTCATTGTTGCCATAACTATTCTCTTGGTAGAATGACACGGATTTTTTCCTTTTCCTTTTCTATTCGGGCATGTCATCCATAAGCAACATGTTTTGCAGCTCCAAGAGACAGTTAAGAAGCCTATCGGCATTCTGCTTATAGATCATGAGATTAACAAGGGCTCATATGTCTGTTTTTAGATCTCTAGTTTCAGTGGTGGATCATGGTGTACTGAGAGGCAACTTCCTCCCCACCCCGTCATATCTGGGGAACAAGGATGTCCTTTCAGCCCTTGTTGAGCGCACTAGTTCATCTGCAAGAACACTGCTTGTTTTATCTGTTTTGGGAATCAGAGGATGACCGTGCGGTGAGTACTACATTAAGCACCAGATCATACTTTTTTTTTAATTTATTTTTATAGCTAATTTTGAATGTGATTAGCTTGTTTAACTTAAATCTCATTTTCTTCTTGTCGTAGTTGTTGTCATTTCTCCCAAGGACGACGGTATCTTATTTCTCAAAGTTTTCTTACTGTGTTGGCCAATATCGTCCTTTCTGTATCTGGTGTCTGATGATTTAGTGAGTGCTTCTTAAGAACCACCATCTATGCACATTATTTATTTATTTATTTTTTCTGATTTAATTCTTGAATATATGAATATCAGCTTATTATTCAACTTTAATCTAATTTTGTCGTCATTGTTATCTATAAGCACGGATGTTATTTCTGACTGCATAATCTTGCAAAAGGCCTCCATGGGCGCGATAGTTGCAATAGTGTATTATGCTGAGACCAACAAATAGAATGACTGTCGTTTAGTGTTGTAATATGGTCAAACTGGACAATGTTCGATGGAATTAGAATTTACTAATTTGCCTTCACATTGAAAATAGTTTGTTATTTGTTTTTAAATTCATTTGAAAGGAAAACTGACATTCTATAGTTTTTTTTGACATTTGACCAGCAGTAACCCTCCTTAATGGAATGGGAGGAACTGATACTAAACCATGTATACCACATGTGATGTGTAGTGATGTCTTTTTTAATACATGGGGAGGTTTTTTGTAATTTCACTGGAATATTAAAATGTTACTAAACCTTCTTAATCAGATTTTGAAGTATATTTGGAACCTCAACAAGATTGTTCTAGACTACAGGGCTTGAAAGGGACCGGGGCTTGATTTGATGCCCAGCCGATGGAGGTTACGCCACACGGAACTCTAAGCCCGTGACATTAAACTGTGTTCCAATCCTACTCGAAAGTCCATTTTTAACAAATTTGGATATTCATTTTGAATCCGAATTTAAAAATGTGTCGGATATGGAGATTTATGGAGTTGGATAAAATATAAATCTAATGGTATGTTTGAGATTTAAAATGGAAAAAATTTAATTAAAATTTTGAATTAAATTTCTTTTAATTCTAAAGCCAATGGTTGATTCAAATCTCCCAAACGAGACATAAATATCATTAAATGGGATCAATTATTTTATTCTATTTAGATCATTTTTCACCCTTTTTAAAACTATATGAGTTGAACATGGATCATGTCCACACAATCTGATTGAATTTCGAATTCAGACATTATAATATAGATTAACAAGAAGTGCTCTAGATCCATTGCATTTTAAGCCAACGGAAGCCACTTATTGAATTGTATTATTACTAATTATTATCCTCATCCTTTTTATCATTTCAACCTAGGTGCTTTAGGTTATAACAAATTAAGTCGCACACTTGCAAATAATTGAAGTTTTAAAGGTGATGGAGTTTTGCTTGTAAAGCGATGAGAGTGTTAAGACGGGGAAAAAAAATGTTACAATGAAGACATGCTTAATGACGTCGGCCCCAAAGGCATAGTAAAATATATATATATAAAAGGTAAAGAATAAGAAATTTGTGATTTGCTTCTCCATGCGATTGACTCTTTCTCATATATATACATACATATATATCTGTGTGTGTGTGTCGGCCTTTGACAAATTGTGGTCATGATGCCATCCCAGGTTTACAAGTGGATTTAAAGGATGGTGGGCCATGACAATTAAAAAGAGACTGCCTTTTCATGGTCTTTACTTTAAAGGGGCCTCTGGTTAAAAAAAAAAAAAAAAAAACCTTTAAATGGGCCTATGGGCTATGATTTATTTAACATTGTCTTTTTGTCTTCCCTATCATCCTCATTTCTTCTCTCAATAAAATTATAGTTATTGTTAACAAAAGTAAATTAAATAACAAGCCTTATATATTGGTTTTATTTTTCATATATATATATTTTTAAGTTATTAAGTAAAGACATTATTCACGTCGAATTCATATCCAGAATATTTTTTTTATTTAGAAATTGGATATTGTTAGATTAATGGCCCATTAATTGTCTTATTTTTATTCAATGAGTTTGCAAAAAGTTTTATTTTTTTTGTCGTGTACCTACTTAATAATTTTAATTCATTATTAAAGTTTTGCCATTAACGTTAACAGTGTTGGGCTCCACACGTTTGTGTCGACGAGCCGACGTTGGTCTGAAGATAATTTTCTGCTTTTTTTTCAAACCCTTTGCAGCTCCAGATTGATATTTATTATGGGTGGAATTGTGAATGATTATCATCAGAGTCAAAAGTCCAACCCATCTTTAAAATGTTCATACATAAAGTCACAGCACAGGTGATAAAGTTGCAAAATCATACAAAAGCAAGGGCAATTAGCAAATATATTAAGAGTAAAGTGGCCATTTATATAAATAACTTAAATATGCATAGTGAATAACGTTGAATGCATATAAAGACAATGCAACTAACTACCGCAACCAACTGGTAACCAAACAAATCAATCACACAAACTGCTTTAACTAAAACATCTTTCGACTTCAATTCCTAAAATTTATAAATTAGAGGAAGTTTAATGCAAATTTCTTGTGTCTTCTTACCTGATTTGCAATTATTTAAAAAGAAAAGGTGTGACAACGTAAGCCCCTAGGCGCCATCAAACTTTCCTAGGTTACAGTCTCTTACCTCTTCTGTCTTCTCTCTTCTGTCTTCTCTCTTTTTCTTTCCTTAAATCATTCTTTTATATCCTTTTATATTTTTCTCCAACCTTAATACTTCCTTCTTTTCATGGCTCCAAACTAAGAGCATCTTCAACGTAAAATACTATAATTTCATGTCAAATTTATATTTGGAGAGGAGTTACAATGTAAAAATACTATATTTTTTCAATTCTGCTCTAATAGTGCATTTCATCCAAAATGTTATTTTTTGACACAATATTCCTTCCATGTTTTGAGAGTTTATTGGAGTGCCTTATTTTTATTTTAGCAACTTTTGATAATCTCAAAATATGGGAGATCTTTTGAGAGACTGGAGGCCTTATTTTCATCCACTTGCTATATTTTGAGTTTGAGAAGTTATTGGAGATTTTTATTTATTTATTTATTTATTTATTTTTTCAATTTGCCGGTTCTAGAGCCAGTGCCAATTTGTTAATACCCTTGAGCCTTTTTATTGTACGTGATTGGCTTCATATTTGTTTTAGTATGTATATGTCAATTGATAAAGTATTCTGTCAAAAAAAAAAAAAAAAAAAAAATTTGATAAAGTTTTAGCAAATGATATAAACATCAACATAACTGATTTTGCATTCAAATTTTTAGTGAGCTCATTAAAATTTGAAATGATAGACAGTTAAAAGAAGAATTCAGAATTAGGGGACAGAAAAAAAAGTTGGAGATGGGAACAGGAGAGGAAGAGACAAGTGAGATAAGAATGGAAACAAGACAGATATAACCTTTAAAACACAGCAAGGACCTTTTTGGTATTTTATTTTAATGAAAATAGTAATAGAGTGTTAGAGTACTAATTTGGAGCGTAAATATTACCATCATAGTAATAAATAAGAAAGGACAAAATTGACGCATTCTATTTAGTTACTTAATTACTAAATTAGAGATGTTATTGACAATCCTCTTTTATTACTAAATCAGAAATGGTGGAGTATATCTTTAATTAAGAAAATAGAAAGAATGGGTATACACTTATTAGTAGTATTATTTTTTGACTTTGTTAATTTTATAATTAAAGAGAATTTGTCCATTGTTATTGATCCACATCAGTGATATGCTAAGACCCAAATATAAGAAAAAGAGTGGCTGAATTTATTTTCAAAAAAAATATTTTTCTTATTTATTATTATTTTTAATATGATAATTATAAATTATGTGCATATTTGTAATTGGACCAAGATTACTTACTTACTAAGTGGATATAAGAATGTGTGTGTCCTATTGTCCCTTTGAAAAAGAGGAATTTATAATTTAAGAAAGTATTCGACCTCAAATCAAATAAACTGAAGTAAGAAGGACCCACTAATAAAATCGGGAAACTTTTGTTTTCGAAGGAAAGAGAGGCTTCGGTAGGAAGAAACATGGAAACCCATCACTCTGATATAAGACTCTCATCATCATCACCACCCTCTTCTCCTTTTTCTCTGCTCAACCCTCTCATTGATTCCACACTACCCATTTCACCATAATAATTCACACACACCCTCATCACAACCATTCAAAAAATTCCCATATCCAATCAACTGGCCCAACCCAGTATTGTACTTGTCGTATGATCTGAATTCTCCGCCGTCGATATGATTCAGCTTCTCTTCGCGCTCATTCTCTCCGAGATGGGTCTCATCGTGATGTTCGTGTTCAAGACCCCACTGAGGAAGCTGGTGATCATGGGTTTGGATCGGGTCAAGCGCGGTCGGGGCCCGATTGTAGTGAAGTCTGTTGCAGGGACGGTGTTCCTGGTGATGGCGTTTGGTGTTTACAGTATGATGAAGATCCGGAAGCGTCGGATCGTAGATGGTGCTGTTAATCCGACGGATCAGGTTCTCATGGCCAAGCATCTACTTGAAACCTCTCTAATGGGTACAATTTTTCGTTTCTATTATCCTATATTTTTTTTTAATATATTTGACAATGTTATTGAATTGGGTGCAATTAATAATACTGCATATACATATATTTATGTACACACTTTTTATTTTTTATATTGTGAATTTATGGGCTGGAATTTGAGGGATTTCTGGTATTGCTTGTGTTTTTAGATATTACTATTATGCCTGAATATTTCTCATTTATCCACTAAATTATGTGCCTTAAATTTGTTTGATGGATTAATATAATGGAAAAGTGTTGTTCAATAGGGTATGATTCTTTCACTTTTTCATTCTTGGGAGAAAGGGTGAAGAATCATTAAATTTTTTCACAACAATTCTTGGGAGAGAAATCCTCTCAATAGGAGGGTGGGGATCACCCAACCAGCAGATGGGGTCCGCCAGTATGGTGATCAACACCTTTTCTATTGTACGGAAAAACTTAGGTATCCCAATTTTATTTTATTTTGTTTTGTTATTTTTTATATTTTTGTAAAGTAATTTACTTTCACACACACTTTATACAATTGGGCTAATGCCTTTTTTTGGTCTCAATTTTGGTAGCAAATAAAAAAAGTCATGTGCGCTTCACATGACATATGAATTTTATATTTTGAACAATATATCTCTTTTAGACTTAGACTAAAATTATCATTGGACAAAATATATGGAGGGATCCATTTTGGCAACTCCTAAGGTTTTTAACTAAATTTTGGGCAAATTTTTTTATTTTAGAGAATCATTATTTTAATTCAATTTTTTTTTTTTTTTTTTTTCATTTCTATTTGACAAGGTCAGTTTTGTAATTTATTTTATTTTATTTTATTTTTTGGTTTTTTGTTTGTTTAGGGGTGTTATTTGCAATGCAGACAAGGTGGATTTGTTGCATTTTGCCTTAAGTAAAATCATCATTTCGATTATTTAAATCTCAAGAATATGAGATGATAGCCGGAATTTCTAGAGGCGAGTTTTAAATGCAAGAAAATACAAAAACTTAAAAGTGATAAGTTGAAATGATTTCTTTGGGTACAGGGTAAAAGTTTTGGAAAAAATTAATATTTCTAAAGAGTTATGCTTTTGAAGCCAAATGATATAAAATAAATTTACAACAGGGGTTTATTTAAATGGAAGAGGGATGTTTACTAGTATATTCCACTTGTATGTGTGTAGATCAAACTGACAATGATAAAACATGACTTGAGAGTAATGACATGATATGAAATCTGAAGCTGCACCTTTATGGTATACCAAACCTGTTGTGCTGCTCTTTTTGTACTTGTTGTCACGACTAAAATCTTAATAGTTTTGAAAATGCATTTTTTATGAGTTTTACAAATTTGTTTGTGTCATTATGATATTATGCCAGGAAGAAAAATATCATGATTTACACTTTCACCATTCCTTATATATATATAATTTTAAACAAATTAGGTATATAGGTCTATGAAAGCAATTGACTGTTCTAAGGCAAAAATTTGTAGCTTAAAGCTAAAAAATATATGGCATGTTGTTCTTGATTATTAAGCTAAAAATCATTGGATGGGAGAAATTTTGTTGTGGAGTTAATTTTTAGATCAGTAAATTCTTTTAGCAGAGGGCAACTTCTTTTTTTTTTTTTTGGGCGGAAATCAAGATGCAATTTTGTGAGGTCATTGAGTTTAAGAGAAATGGATGGGGAACTTCGATGGAAATTTTAGCTTACCATGAGAATGTGAATATTAAACTATATTAAATTTTATTCTTCCAAATTGTGGTAATATTTTTTGAGAAATTTCAAGGAACTGATGAGTTACAGTTTATTGATTTTCAGGTCTGCATAGTCATGTTTTTAGAAAAAAATGAGATACAATATGGTTCTTTTTAATTGAAAGTACGACAAATCAAGACCATTATGATATGCATTATAGGCAATAGATCTATTATTCATCTTCTCTGCAGTTTCCTTTGATATTCATGATGTCTCTTTGCTTTTCTCTGTTACTATTAAGGTGGTAATGTTCTTGAGTAACTTGTCCATGAATTGGAAATTTTGTGGCAAGATTATTCGAGCAACTTCCTTGTGAAATCTCTCAGTTGTATTCTTTTTTTTTTAGAATTCAGAAATCACAGGAATTGACAGATAAAGAGATTTTGAAATCCTGCATTTAGAAAATCCCATGATTTGTTGCGTTGTTTTAACTAGATTTTGAAACATTAGTTTCTTTTATAGATTTAAAATAAAAATCCTAGAACACCGTTGGAATGGTTATAATGGTTCAGCAATGGTTTGGGATCAGATCAGTCACTGGCCTCTCTCTCTCAGACACACACACACACATTCATGCCTTCGCATATTTCAGCTGTGTTCTTGGTCAAGTTTGTGCAAGGTTAATGAAATATTAATATTAGTGGTTATTCGAAGAGGCCACCATATCCATTAACTGAGTGAATGATGAGTAAACAGAGAAGACTGATTCATGAATTGCATTAAAATTATTATAACTGGATGTACCAGTGGAAGAGGAGAAGGACCGGAATTTGAATGCACGTTTGATTCCCCCTCGAATGAGAAGTCTCCAATGTTGATCCTTCCCTTCCCACATGGGTGACTGAAGGGAGAAAGATTCTCCTTATTGTACTTTATTATCAATACTCATTAGAAGCTTTGTCGTCTATTATTAAAAAGAAGAGAAGGGAGAAGGAGAAGAACAAGAAGTGAAGAAAAGGAGTGACTGATAGAGAGATACAATAGCAAGCAATGAAGATTAAGAATGGTATCAATAGCTAAATAGGAAGAGATCAGAAGTAGCAGTGAGGAGATAGAAATAGTAGTAATCAATGAAGAATAATTCCATCTATGCTGGCTGATCAAGATACTTTGTGGTCTCTTGAATATCAATGTACATTAGTGTGATTCACTTGAAAACTCTCCGGTGTAGAAGGATATTGATCTTGCTTGTGAGGTGCATCTCGTTAGGAGTATGATATTGGTTTGCTATATTTGCAAACTTTGTCTGATTTGAAACAGATTGCACATGGGAATGAAAGGATAAATTACTTCTAACCACTTTTGGATTTTAGGAAATTTTTTATTTTATTTTATCATTTTTGTAATCACGGTTTCTCTGGTGAAAACAACAGTAGTATTAATTGTAAAATTAATCACTTGATCTTGATTTCCCTAAACCATACAACCCCTATATAGTTTGAGTTTAGGCTATATGCATTTAACTAGCCTAAAACTAAAACTATGCCTCTAACCATGAGGTGTCAGTTTAGCATATAACACTAAGACTTGTTTTTGAGCTTCTCAAGGCTAACTTCGCTTGTGAGCAAGAAGCTAAGATGAATAGTTGAATGTGCACTCTAATATACAGTCACTCACCTTCTCTATTTCTGCATATCAAGTAAGACTTGTATTCAATCCGTATCACCATTTAATGTGTTTCTTTTTTAGCACTTTTACTTTTAACTAAAGTTGTGAAAAAACATATGCAGGCTTCTCTCTATTCCTTGGACTAATGATAGACCGACTGCACCACTATATCAGAGAACTTCGTATAAGGAGGAAGAACGTGGAGCCTGCAAAGAAACAAAGCCGAGTTTTTGAGGATGGTAAAACTGGAGGTTCGAAGGAAATCAAAGCCTTGGAAGAAGAGATGGTCACATTACGGGCAAAGGTTAAGCAGCTGAAATCAGAATTTGAGGGAAAGGAAAAAGAAGCTGCCACTGCAGAAGCCAGTGTGTCTGCACTAAGAAAGCAATCTGAAGGATTTCTACTTGAGTACGGCCGTTTGCTTGAGGAGAACCAAAACCTTCGAAACCAGTTGCAGTCATTGGACAGGAGATTATCACATTCTAATAGCAAGAAGGTTATGTAAGGAAACTGTCACCTGTCACCAAACATATTTTCTGTTCGTTTTCTTGATCTCTGTTTGTGAGTTGTGTGGTTTTGTTTTTTATATAGCTTTTAGTAGTCATCCATGCATCATTGTAAGGATTTAGAAAAGATGCCAGGAAAAGAGAGTGAAAAAGAAAAGGGGACGTAGAGGTTATTACTTTGTGTGATCAATTTTAAAGCCAAAGTGTTGACATAGAATCAGTTTAATTTTCCAGAAAAATTCATACGGTTAAACTTGCATTCATTATAGACAAATATTTTCTTCAGCATTTGGGCCTTAAACTGATATTTTTTGTAAGATTGAGTAGTTTTCAGTGACTACCACCAGTAAATGGTGTTGGGTGATTGTCTCAGTTAGGCTGGCTGACTTGACAAGAGTCCATGTTCAATGCAAATTTTCTTGGTTCATGATTAGAGGTGCCTTGTAAGGATTTATAATTTGTATTATTATGATTTTCCTGATTTTTCATCCTCTGTTTTCGCAAAGTTTTTGTATATATATGCTGATGAACTACTTTGAACTAAATTTCTCTAATTTCGATTTCAAAATGCTGGTTCAGTACTCCCAAACATATATTATTTGTGTATATATACATTGCGGCCGCAGCTAATTGCCTAATTAGACCAAGGCCGGGGAGGCAAGTCCAGGGTGGACATATCCTGCATAGCATAGCCATGGGCCCACGATGACGTGGTGGGCACTTGGCACCTGCACAAAGACCTCTGTGCAATTTTAATCTTGTTGGTTAGGCTCTAGTCAACTCAAGGATGAGCAAAATACAATTTTGTAATGCCACTTCTTATCAATAATGCTGGTTTGAAAATCTTATCTATAGTATATAGCAGTAATTTGCAGTGATTGTGAAACCAAAGATTCACATTCATTTCGACCTTCTCAAATGAGTTGGAAAAGCTTCTTACTTTTATGGCACACACAAATACAATCTCTGTGTGTGTGTGTGAGAGAGAGAGAGAGAGAGATTTGTTGTATAGTTTATTTACTTAATGAGCCATGTACGTGTAAATGTAGTGAACCACGTAGGCAACACCAATAAATGACCTTACAGAAAAATAAACCAATAAAAGGAACATTTTTTGTGGTCAGAATTCAACAAAGAAAAAAAGAACATTTGAAGTATATGGAAAATATATAATAACTATTAGAGCTTGCCTTTGTGTGCTTACCATTGTGTCTATATGCTTTCACATCTGGAAACTAGGATGTCACCAATTTTGTTATCTGTTTTTGTTTTTGAAACAATTAGGTGACAAGACTAGAATTGTAAATTGACAGTGGAAGCTAGAGAAGTACTTCTAAATCACTCATGAGAGAGAAACAAAAAGAAAAAGAAAATAAGAAACATTACTCCATTATGTTTTTAGACTGCAAACCTATTGATTAAATGCTTCGTGGTTTGTGATAATCGAAATTAAAGTCATCTCAATTTACTTGGTGGAAGAAGGAAAAAAACACAAAAAAGAAGAGGCAGAAGTGAATAAGAAATAAAAATATTTAGCCTCTTTTTTTTTTTTAGGTTGTTGCATTGTTGTTCTTGTTGCTGCTGTTGCTGTTGTTTTCATTCATTTAATTGTTTGTGTTAAACTTTGATACTGCATTTTGATTGATATGTCGTTCTCCTACATGTTTCTATGTCGTGGTTTGATTGATTAGATAATTAATCTTTTTATATTTTCCCTTTTGTTTTTTTGATAAGTAAGATTTTATTGAAAACGCTCAAAAGGGGAGTGGAACCCAAACAAACACAGGGCCAAAAAGCGCCTTAAACCTTCAAAGAGGCCAAAAAAACAATAATCTCCTCAATAAATCTAAAATCTTTCCCTGAGACCCAACAAAAAAGAGTGGAAATGGTGATGTTATTCTGATAAATTTTCCCTTGTAATCTATGCAATTAGAGAGTTGCAAATGACACATCCATGTAGTTGAAATGGTGATGTTTAGACGAATTATAGGAGTAATTTGAAAAAGACAAAAATAATAAGCATACTATAAAGAAATTAGGAGTGAGACTTATTTAGTTATAAAATAAGAGAAACTAGGCTTAGCTGGTATAGATATATACAATGTGACGAGTAGATGCAACAATAAAAGAAGATGAGAGTAAAAGAGCTGTAACATGAAATAATAATAAACGACCCTAAAGTTTAGCGGAAAAATACTTTGAAATAAAAAAAAATGAGAAGAAAACTCTTGTGGTCCATCCCATTTAATTGGAATCAAGAAAATGATGACATTGCTAATGACAATTGATTTCATATGAATCATATTCTTTGACGAGCTATATCATTTGAGTTTCATTTCATACAACAATTTAACCACTTAAAAGTTCCTCACGAATAATAAAACTGTGTTTCAATAGTAGATGCACTATATCAGAGAGTTAATAGGCCCGTCTTCAAATCGTCATTTGAAAAACATGGAACCCTTCTTATTGGATGATCATGATACTTCCTAAAAATCGAAATTCTTGACCAATGGAGGAAGAATATCACCCTTTTTTTCAATAAGATACTAAAGTGGATAATTGAATCATTCCATACTAGAAATAATCGCAAGAAATCCTTTGATAACACGGGCATGTTTGGTAGGAGGCATCCTTTTTCTGGAACTTCCATGGAAAAGAAATGGACTTTTAAACTCGTTGGATTGCAAATCTCTTGAACTTTTTTAGTAAATTAGTGATAAGGTATACTAAAGATATTAGAGCATCCATATTGACATGAAATTCAGACATGTTAAGTGACTCAAAACGACGAAAATATTTAGAATTGTTGTCAAAGATGCAAGACATTTAGATACCAAATGGCTTTATGCACTTAAAATGTTATCTTTATACAAGAGAATAGCATGCCTTTTACAGTTATGCAAGAAGCTTATGCCATTACTTGCAATGTTGGAGTAGAACCTTTATCAGTAACAGGAGGCAGATTTGATCAGTTCCCTAGTTTGTTCCGAACCCGTTTTGGGATCTTACTCTTTTCTCTATAGACATTTCTATCCCTGAGTTCGAGCCTCCCATACCCTTCCTGGTAGTCCCGGGGCATGATGGATTACCTACATCGCGGGTAAAATTGACTTCCCTATCCCTGGTACCTTGTTCGTGCAAAAGCATTTTGGCGTTGGCTACCGTTAACACCATCAAGCTAAGAAAAACCAGAACAGATAGTGCTGATAGGACTAGCAATAGTCCTGTTGCTACAAGGACTTTCACTTGTCGGGCGTACTCCGCGGAGGCTAGGGCAAGGAATGTGAGTGGGAACGAGTAGGCCCACCATGCCACGTTGAACTGTTTCATTGATTTCTTGAAAAGTGATGGCCTACAAGCCTGTTTCCATATAAATCAGCCTGTTAGAATTGAAATTTTGTTTGACTTCCAAGTTCTGAGGCTAACTTACCAAGGATGTGAAGAGGAAGAGTGAGAGAAAGAAGAGCATTTTGCATGGTGTGTCGAATGTCCCAGAGATGGAGTTCCAAGCCAGGCTTGCCGCGCTTGGTGCAGCCACAAACAAGAAGAAAACTGGGCGTAGCTTTGCTGGAAGACGATCGCCACCTGACAACCGCTGATACAGTGTGATGATGATGACCAAGTAGTGTGTAACTCCGAGTGTAAATATGCAAACCGAGCTCTCTTTCCACCCCATTTGAGCAGCTGCCCAAGCACCCACCATGTTCCCTATCACTGACATATGGCTTGTAGGATTTGGCACCATTGATAGAAACCGTTTCTCAGTTGTGAACCACTGCCCATAGATTTTGACATCTAGAACCACCACTGGGATGACGAAGAGCCACCATAGAAGTTGGTAGGACACGGTCTCTGAGATGACAAACGGTGCAGATTGAAGCACGAGAAGACATGATATCCAAGGAGCAAACAGATAGTTCGCTCCCACATGGTGCAAGAACTCCGCCTTCACCAAGTGAAAGTGAAAAATGCACCTCAGGATGTAGAGGAGACCGAGAATGATCAGCGTGAAAAGTGAGAGATACCAAATTAAAAGGAAAGCTGTCGAAGGGAGTTTATGAAACACACGTTGGAGAGTTTGTGAGTCATGTGTGTGCTCTCTTAGAGTCTTCCACAGCAAAGCTTGACTACCAAGAGAGAGGCTTATTCTGAAGTAACCTGCATGGAGGCTAGTTAAAATGGATAGCCATGTGGGTGACCCCATGGAAAGCTCGGTACGGTGGTCATATTTTCCCTCATTGGTGATGACTGAAGCATCAATTATAACTTTGATCTCTGGTTGAGAAACTCCGTCCCCCATTGGAACGTGTGTATGTGTGTATATATATAAATGGATGATTGCATTTTGGTGGCCTACAAGGGGTGCTTATATAGGGCAACAAGTGCATTTGATTTGAGATGATTTTGACATCACATTGTGAGTGGAAGCCACTACTTCACACACCACGCTATAAAATGATAAAATATTTATCTTCAGTTTTGACATGGTATGTGAGAATAATGGATCAATGACTAGATTGTGTTTGGGAAAAAATTTGGAATACGAGGGATGCTTAAAGTTAGTTAGGAAGTGATTTAAAATGAAGTCACTATTTTTTTGTAATCCTTATAGTACATTACTAGATTGCATACAGGAACAGTGTGAGATAATAATTTGATAATGTTTAGATCTTGTGATAACAAGATATAAGGGTAGGTCCCACTCTTTCTCAAGGAGTAGATTGCACAGGGGATCAAGAATAGAGGCGGGACTGGATAAACTTTGATACCACTTGTAATGGGCTAGACACTTGCTATCGTTCCCAAAAACTTGAGCTGTTAGGAGGTGCTGCATATTGCTGATATAATCCGAAATCTCCGTCCCCCGACAGTAAGCACATTGTAGTTCTAGGTGAGGAAGTTTAACTGAAATCTCATAGTCATGGTCCTCATGGATAAAGTTGATCCAACAACATTAACTCAAATAATTAGAATAACTCTTTGTTGAGTTGAGTTTAATATGCTTGTTAATTAAAGACAAATGATTATCTAGTTGTTATAGGCATTTTCAAGTTTTGAAGGAAGATGTGAATGCAATTTAACTCTCTTTTATGATAACTAGCTACTTGACACAAGTTTTATAATCTGATCTGCTAAGGAAAATAATAGCATGACACTTACGAAGTATGCTCATCCCTCTAATAGTCAATACCAAGATGAAAAGCTTTATTAAAGTTATAAATTAAGGATTGGGACCCAACACATGATGGGTCCCATTCTGTAATTAAATTTATTTATCCATAGAAGAAAAATATAGAATCGAAAGGGATATAAGTTAGCTTAAGAAATTCAAAATAGCATTTGCTGAAAAATAATTGCAGGACTAGGTTTTGTGTAATCTGTGTTGGACCTGAATTAAAAAATGGTAAGCATGCATTACAGGACATTAAAGGACAGGAAAGCAAAAGAAAGAAAAGGAGTGGCTAAGCAAATTACACTCAGAAAAAGTTAGAAAGAGAGATGTGTTTCTTAATTACATATGCTGAGCTAGAAAGCTCTTATACTTTCTGCTTTTCCAAACTCGAAGTTTTTCTTTGTTGAGGAGTCAACTTCATATTTGATTAATTTAAGTTTAAAGGAGTTCATATTTGATTCTACGGGCTGCGAGGGGCCACCATTAGAAGAGCCAGGTAAATACAGAGAGACGTCCTTCTTCAATATGTTACCTTTTGATTCAAGTGAAACATAAGGAGTTAAAGAAGAAAACATGAATTTTTGAGCAGAGAACTCTTTTACCATAATCCTTTCAGTACCAAAACAGTTGTTAGTGTTGTTATCTTATGGATTGAATTGATAGGAAGTTGGAGTCTTATAATACTTTTTGGGAGGTATTTTTGGCATTTTCACACTTGCTATGTAGCCCCAACTGTATCACACTATAATTTTGCTTTACTCTTTATCAGAATAAAATCTCGCCAACTCCGTGAAAGTAGTCCAAGTTTTGGGTGAACAAAGATTTCCTGTTAAATAGAGAAACTCAAACGTCCATAATCAGGGACCGATCCAGGAAATTGTGTGATGGGGGCAAAATGATTTTTTTTTTTTTTTTTTGGTAATTTCCGGCCTGGGGGTGTGGGGTGGTTAGAAAATTTCAGTAGGGGCAATTGCCCCCACTGCCACTACACTAGATCTGTCCCTGTCCATAATTTGCTCCAAGTTACATGGTAATCGTTTTGGTTAATCCTCTTAGGCCTGATGTGCAGCAATGCTGGTGAGTCAATTATGTCAAGCTACCAAGGCGTGTAGTTTAACGGTATCTCCTCAATCACTGAAAGTGAAATGTGAGGGTTCAAGTCCCATGGGGCAAATGGGTGTGCGAATTTTTTGCCCAAAAAATGTAGTAAGCTGGTTCATTTTGACTGTTTATCCATAGATGAGTTCTTGCCAAGCATGCGTGCTGTGACATGTGGTGAAAGTGTCGACTCATTTTCATTTTGTATCATGATTTTTTAGACCTGAAAGAATCTTAACAGTAATCCCACTATACAACTCAGAAAACCTGAGCCACTACTTGTGTTGAATTCTTCCATGGTACTTCCTTGGTACTTGAGTTTTTAAACACGACAACCTACTCATGCTTCAAATCCATCTACAAAAATATTTAGTTACTAACTGCACATTAGGCACATGTGTAGCGCCAATGCTTAGTATAGTTTCTTATGATGAGTGACAAAATTGTTGTGTCATGGAGAATATATATATATAACGCCTCTAACCTTGGAGGGCATCATTTAAAAAGGATATCCATGGTTAGAGTGGTAATACTTTTAAATGTTTGCAAAGAAGTGGTTTCACATTCATATTCATAGGAACCACATATATATGTGTGACTAGGGCAGGTGGATGCAGTGCTGTCACGATTACTCATATGCGTGGCATGCTACACGTGAATAATCATGACTGTCTAATGTAACACAGACTCACAAATATAGTGTGACTAAGGGATGTCGGATCCAGTGCTATACTGATGGCTACCATTGCTCACAAGCGTGGCATGCTACACGTGTGAATAATAGTGGTCATCTGGTGCAACATAGACTTAGAAACATACGTGTGACCGGGGAAGGTCGAATCCAGTGCTATACTGGACGGTCACGATTACTCACGTGTGGCATGCTATATGTGTGAATATTTGTGATTGTTTGATGCAACACAACACGCGTATTATACTGTAGAGAATTCGGACTACTGACTAAGGAGTTGGAAGTTTTTTTAAAAATTTTTTTTAGAGAAGGTATCACTCAAGCTATGCCTCTAACCTTCGAGTGCATCATTTAAAAAGGAAATCCATAGTTAGAGTGGAAATACTTTAACTATTCGAAAAGAGTGGTTTCGATGTATATTCATGGAAACCCCATATATATATGTGTGTGTGCTTAGGGAAGGTTGGATTTAATGTTATAATGGACGGCCACGATTACTCACATGCGTGGCATGCTACACGTGTGAATAATCGTGACCGTCTGGGGCAGCATAGAACCACAAATATATGTGTGACCAGAGAAGGCTAGACCTAATATTACACTTGACGGCCACGATTACTCACACGTGTGGCATGCTACACATGTGAGTAATTATGGCCATCCGGTATGGCACAACACGTGTGCAGTATAACAGAGGGTCCGAGATGGTACGGGACTGAGAGCTGGGATTTTTTTATTTTAAATTTTGTTTTAAAGAGATGGTATCACTCAAGCTATGCTTGGTGATGTGTACACTTTTATTGTTATTGGTTGTACCTATTATGAATGGTCTGATGATGCAAAAAGGTTTGTTGATTGGACCTAATGAATTGCATAGTATGCCATTATGTGGTTATGGATAAGACTGTTCTTTAGGCTATGAAGTGAAGAAGGTCAATTTCTCCTATACCTAAATAAGTGGTGGTGCTTATGAATTCCAGTTAGGTATTTGGTTATGCCTGCTGAATCTGGCCACAAAGCCTAATCCCAATATTTAAAGATTCTAGGGATAAAGCGGGCCTATTTGTACAAACAAAGTCATTCTATTTTCTCTCTCTTACCCACATAAAGAAGAAGAGAAAAATAAACAACAAACAAAAATTAGAGTGTGTATATATATATATATATATATATAGAGGGAATTCATATTTAAACTTATGATATATTCCGATATGTACAAGCGCAAATCACACATATCATTGTGTTGCAAATCACACATATCATTGTGTTCTCGTGTCTTGAACCACATTGTATTTTATATAAATCATAACTGCTAGAAACTCAACCTTTAATCTGTAAAACATTTATGGAAAATAATATCAATTGCATTATAGAAAGTGGTGTGGCCTTGTAATTAAGGACTTATAGATGCACAATCTGATCATATCTACTAAAACTTTGTGGCAGTGCATGTCTCATTGTTTCCAAACCCCATTTTTAAGAGAATAAAGTTCAAATTAAAACCAACACACTATCACAAAATGATCAAAAAGGACCATGGAACATTAGGTGAGCTAATCTAGACCGCAGCAAATCAGCGCCCACTCGGCAAGGTGTAACCATTTCTAAAGAGGAAGGCTTACAGGATTATATCTCTATCAGAAGCCCAACGTCAGTTGTCTTCGACTATATTAACAATAAATTAAATATATTGCCCCAAGATCATGTTGTCCAGTAATACCATAATGGAGCCAAATGTAATGTAACCAAGCAACTCAGGAAAGAAGCATCGACAAAGATACGAGTATTCAACATTCACAGAACATTTGTTATTAAAAGTAGGAAAGGACTGAAATATTTACAGATACGAATAATCGAGTTTTGTAATCTATTTATTAACAAGAAGCACAGAAACATGGAATTTGGAGAAGCTAGGAGCAGTACAGGTGAGTGTATTTATGCTGCTTCTGCAAACCCAACTCTCAGCTTACCAGAATCAAATACGGTGTGGTAGCGGCCCATGAAGATATCTCCCAAGATCCTGCATCACATAATTGACAGTCTCATTATTAACATTGCCATCACCAAAAAGAAGACAACAAAGGGAAAACCTTAACATATATTTGGAAATTTGAATAGAATACCAGAGAGGTCCACGAGGAGGAGGAACGTCCAAAGCAGTAAAACCACTAATGCACTGCGCCGCGGCACCCTCACCTACCTTGAGTATATACTGGTCACACCACCAAGGACATTAATTTCAGTACAATAATTAGTAGTTTTGAACCTTTCCAAGCAAATGAACAAGATGACAGAGACCGCACAAACAAATAGAAGAATGCAGTGCTACTATCTTAATTATCTTTTGACCTTTACTTGGCGAACCGGATAAAACAGAGGGAGACCCAGGGGTGGGTTACAAAATAAACTTTGAACAAGGCACAAGAAATAATGAGCTTGTCAGACACAACTTGTGTCTGACGAAAAATATGTCTAGACAGATAAAATAAAAAAAAGCACCAAAAATAGTGAAATTAATAAAGAGACCTATGTGTCATTCTCATCTAATCTTAGCCTTCCCTAACCATGTAGAAAGTAATGCATTCACAAGAAGTTTAATCTTGTCTCTACAACAAAACCACTTGACATGCTATGCAATGTGGCTGTGCTCATTCATGACTGCAGACATGAAATGATCTGCTATAATTCTTTCAGGAATTTAACACATCCTTTTTTTACGTCGTAGTCTCGGCATGGAAAATTCTATACTAGATAGGAGGACTTCAATCAGACCCAACAACACCAGCAGCAACAGTAAAAGTAATTGTTAGCAAGAAAATGTGCAGCATAACATCCTTAGGCTCATAAGAATAAAATTGCATGACACAATGACACCAGCTGTCTAACAAACCAAAGCTTTATAAACCTAGAAGCCACCATTAAGGATGACGCATATGGAGTAAAAGCAATAACTCTACATTATTAATAAACAGCAGAAATTGAGTTAGCATCATACCTCGTCTGGCGAAAGGTCAAAAACTTTACCACCAATAGTGAAGGAAACACCAGGCATGGAAGAAATACTTTTGCAGTCCACAGCTGTTTCACCCAGTGGGCTCGGGAGTCGATCACAAAGCTGCAATTATGTTAGAGAACTGAGTCAACCAGACAAGCAGCTCTACAAACAAGAACATATAAGAATGTGTCCATAATGGCTACTTCACCTCATTGACGTAGTTCAATATATGATCTTGTGTCTGATTCAGCCTAAGCTGGCTTTGCATCCACACCACTGTCATTTCACAAGCAGAGCACATAGCATCACGTAAACCAGCTGATCTGCCACCATTCTTCTTATCCACTACACTCTCGATGCCCATACTATAGAGAAAACTTATAGGAGTCAAATTTTCATAGTCAACATATGAAGTGAGGATAATCTTATAGACAGAACCATTCTGATCCTGACCAATCAAAGCCGGTGCACAGTCCAATTTGGGAGCATATCTTCTTTGGCTTTGTCTGTTATATACAGTTGAAATCCAAAAGTCAGTTTACTTGCTGGTCAAGTAGAAATTCCTGAGACTTAAATAAAAAATAAAAAGAGAAAGAAATCCTCCAGAAGGAAAAGTACTATACAATTATATATATATCAGTTTCTTTACATGTTATAAATTTGATATGAATACTCAATTTAAAATACAGGAGAAGCTAGTATTTACCTCTGCTAAAAGCAAGTCAATGATTATTTGCCCATACTGTTCAACTACTGACTTGCATTCCTGGCTAACAATTCCAGAGGCTCCAATTGCATGATTTATCATCGTGACCACAGTCTGCACATATGATAGAGGGAAGGAGAGCAGGAATAAGAAATAAAACCATGCAATAGAGAAGCATACTAATAGAATTAATGCCGATGTCCTTTCCATTTCCAGATGGCAATGTAAATGACTGCCTGTTAACGACACAGAAGAACTTAATTATTAGCTATTGACAGCAAGAAACGGAAACAACGGATTCAATAATCAGAGAATATATGATATCTAGATAAGCATTAATACATCTCTCAATGCTTGTACCAACAAAAGGTTGCAACACACACTCCGCTAATCGATGCCATTTTCAGTACAAGTAGTCCTGGGATTTGCAGCTGATTTGCCAAAGAATCGCTACAGACGGCTAAAGATACTCTTGAAATTCAAAGAAAGAATACGAGGATTAATAACTCAATTCAATAAATTCACGATGGTATTACATTCAATTTATAGAGTACTACCTAGCTAAAATAGGTAACTAAATATACAATACTTGGGAAACAAATTACCAGCCCTAAATCACGGAGTAAATAATTCAATCCTACAGCTGTAGGATCTGTATAATCCCGGATTATAATAGATAAAATCTCAACACTCCCCCTCAAGTTGGTGCATAGATGTCACACATGCTCAACTTGTCTAAAATTTTTGAAAACACTTGATTTGAGACTGCTTTGGTGAGAATGTCTGCTAGTTGATCTTCAGATCGAATCTTAGGCAACTCCACAATTTTTCCATCCAACTTCTCCTTAATGAAGAATCTGTCTTCGACATGCTTCGTATGATCATGTTGAACTGGATTCTCGGCAATATCACATGCTGCATTATTATCACAATATACTCGAATCGGTTGCCCAGGTAGATAACCCAAATCCCGCAATAGAAGTCTTAACCACAAAGTTTCACAAAGTCCAAGCGCCATACCTCTGAATTCAGCTTCTGCACTTGAGCGAGCAACAACATTTTGTTTCTTGCTTCTCCATGTAACAAGATTACCTCCTACAAACGTGAAGTAACCAGAAGTAGATCGCCTATCATCTATAGCTCCAGCCCAATCAGCATCAGTATATGCATCTATGTTTTGATAACCAGCATTTTTAGTGAACAAAATTAATTTTCCAGGAGCAGATTTCAGATACCTCAAAATGCACATAACTGCATTCATATGTTGCTCTCCAGGATCATGCATAAATTAGCTAACAATGCTCAATGCATAAGCCAGATCTGGTCTCGTGTGTGCTAAGTACATCAATCTCCCTACAAGTCTTTGGTATCTTCCTTTATTAGCAGGTACTTGATTGGACTCAACACATAACTTCAATCCTTCTTCCACCGGTGTCTCAGCTGGTTGACATGCTGTCATGCCAGTCTCTTGTAATAGATCTAAGCCATATTTTCTTTGAGATAGAAAGATTCCTTTATTAGATCGAGATACTTCGATCCCAAGAAAATATCTCAAAGAACCTAGATCTTTGATTTCGAATTCTCTGGACAAGTACTTCTTGAGAGCCTTCATTTCTTCAGGATCATTCCCTGTAACCACCATGTCATCTACATATACAATGAGTGCAGTGATCTTACCTTGTTGTTTCTTCAGGAATAATGTGTGGTCTGAATTACTCTGACGGTAGCCAAAGGCTATCATCGACTTTGTGAATCTTCCAACCCATGCTCTCGGAGATTGTTTCAACTCATATAATGATTTCTTTAACCTGCAGACCTTCCGACTATACTTTTTGGGTATCATGCATCCTGGTGGGAGATCCATGTAGACTTCTTTAGATAATTCTCCATGCAGAAAGGCATTCTTCACATCGAATTGTTGCAATGGCCAATCCAAGTTTGCAGCTAAAGATAACAAGACCCGAACTGTGTTGATTTTGGCTACAGGTGCGAACGTCTCTGTGTAATCGATTCCATAGGTTTGGGTGTAACCTTTTGCCACTAATCTTGCTTTAAAGCGTTCAACTGTGCCATCGGCTTTATACTTCACAGTGTAGATCCATCGACATCCTACTGGTTTCTTTCCTGGTAGAGGATCAATGAGTTCCCAAGTGTTATTTTTCTGTAAGGATTTCATCTCCTCTTCCATAGCTGCTTTCCACTTAGGGTCAGCTAAGGCTTCCTGCACACTGTTAGGAATAGATACTCTAGATAATTGATTTACAAAATGACAAATTTGATTCTGACAAATGATGGTTCGACACATAATGACTCATGGGATATTTAACTTTACTAGACAATTCGGGTTCATATGTAGGTTTAAGAATACCTCTAGTGTGACGCTGTGGCAATTGCTTTATGAGTGGCTCAGGCAGTAAATCAGGAACATCCTCAACAGGCGATTGGTTTGATATATCAGTTGCGAGGGACTCAGACTCGGACGACGGTGGAGTTGGTGCCATTTCTGGGCGTTCATCACCACTTTGATCCGAACGTATACCACTCGAATCCAATTCGCCTGATTCCTAATTGTCTGGTTTAACTTGTGAGTCATCACCACTAAAATCGCCGTCCTCAAAAGTGTGATAATCGTAATCGAGAGTCTGAACTTCTTTCTGGTACTCCCCCTGAAGTTCAGACGTAGAGGAAAAATACATTGAGTCTTCATGGAAAACAATATCCATGGTGATAAACATTCGTCGAGTTGGAGGGTGATAACAACGATACCCTTTTTTATGAAGAGCATATCTGAGAAAAATACATCGCAATGCTCGAGGAGTTAGCTTGTTGCGCTGATGTTTATGGAGGTGTACAAAGGCTACACAACCAAAGACATGAGGAGGTAGATTTGGGACGGTTGGGGCAACAAATGCGTCAGTGAGATCCTGTAATGGTGTCTGGAAGTCAATAAAGCTGGAAGGTACTCGATTGATTAGATATGCGGCAGAGGTAAGTGCTTCTCCCCAATACGATAACGGCATATGAGTTTCTATCAATGAAGCACGAACAACCTCCAATAAGTAACGATTTTTTCGCTCTGCAACCCTGATCTGCTGGGGTGTATTAGAACAAGTGGTTTGATGAATAGTTCCATGGGCTCTCAAATAGTGTTGAAGATCAAAACTCTGATATTCTCCACCATTGTCACTCCGGAGAACCTGAATATGTGCATTGTAGTGAGTTGCAACCAGTTTATGAAACTTTTGAAACAATAAGTTCACTTCACTTTTGGATTTCATCAAGCACAACCAGGTCATCCTGGTACAGTCATCAATAAAAGTAACAAACCAACGTGATCCACCTAAAGTAGTGACTTTGGACGGACCCCAAACATCAGAATGTATAACCATAAAAGGAAGTGGACTTTTATTCAAACATAATGGAAACGAAGCACGATGACTCTTTGCTAGTTCACAAATATCACAGCGGAAACTAGAACCATCAAATTTTTTAAATAAACTAAGAAATAATTTTTTTAGATAACCAAAAGAAGCATGCCCCAGACGTCGATGCCACAACCAGATTTCAGATTTCTTTTTCTCCCCCTCAGAAACATCCACTGTCAATGCTTGCCCCATACGTCGATGCCACAGCCAGATTTCAGATTTCTTTTTCTCCCCCTCAGAAACATCCACTGTCAATGCTTGTCGTAGTTTGTCAAAACTTTTTAACATCAAGTCCAAGTAATACAGCTTCCCTCGCCTAATACCACAACCAATCGTCTGCTTTGTTTGGATGTCCTTAAACACACAAAAATCAGGCCAAAAAATTACAACACAAGATAAAGCTGTGGTTATTTGAGAAACTGACAAAAGACTATAAGCTAAAGATGGAACAACTAAAACAGGATCTAAATGCAGATTATCAACGAGTGTCAAAGATCCTTCCCCAATAACTGGGGTCGAAGTACCATTGGTAGTAGAAACAAATTGTTGGGAAGAGGAAGTAAGTGGTAAGACCTGTCTAGAATCAAACGTCATATGATCTGTAGCACCAGAATCAATTATCCATGCACTATTCACAACAGGTGTAGAAATACTTAAAAACTTACAACCATTATCTCCAGTTACTACCAACCCCAAGGCCTTTTCAGCACCATCATCCTCGGTCTTAACAACTGCTGCAGTGGAGGTCTTCGACGAATTTTTCTTCCAACAACTATGATCCCACCATTCCGGATATCCCACAAGTTCGAAACAGCGACTTTTGGTATGACTAGTCTGATTGCAATGAGTGCATTTGTAGGTAGACTTGTCTGCACCGTTGGTGACTTTAGATTGATTTGGTTTAATACGGTCTTGCCAATTTTGCTTTGATCTGTTGCGAGCCATCATGACTGAAGCTTCAGAGTTTTCGGACTCCCCTTTCAGAGTAGCATGACGTACTGCTTCGCGTCGAACCAAAGAGTAGCAGCCTTCCAAGTCTGGAACTGGATCATTGCGTAGAATTTCTCCACGAACTTGCTCAAAATCACCATCCAATCCGGCAAAAAAGATGTGAACCTTTAGTCGCTCAATAGACTTTCGATATTCTTCAATGTCATCCGGATCTTTCATGACCACTTTATCTCGATGGTCCATTTCTCGAAAAACCTCAGTTAGCGCTCTATAATATTCAGATAGAGATTTTCCATTTTGTTTAGCGGTGAAGGCCTTTTGGTTCAAGGTGAAAACTTGCAACTCATCATTCCCATCATAAAAGGCCGTTGATAGAGCACTCCAGATTTCACAGGCAGTAGGGAAGCGTAAATAACGCTTCATAATTTCTGGAGTCATGGACATTAATAGCCACCGCTTCACTTTTTGATTTTCGGCATTCCACTTGTCATAACCAACTTCTGATTCAACAGGTGGCTTAGTCTTGCCACGAATATAGGAGAGTTTCTCCCTTTCAGCAATATGCATCTCCATCAGTTGGGACCAAACATCATAATTGGATTCAGTAAGACTAATCCCTGCATTAAAAACACCTTCAGATTGAACGAAAATAGGAACTGATTTCGTCCCAGAGGATTCAATATTTTTTTCACTCATATTGGTTTTTTTTTTTTCCTTTTTTTTTTTGTTTTTTTGTTTTTTTTTTTGAAGATATATATATATTTAAAACAAAAATATATATATATTCAAGAGAGCAATTCGGCTCTGTTAAGAGACAGAAACAAAAAACTAAAAAAAACTGAGATGAGAGAGATGGCAGTCCAGCGGCTAGTTCAGCTGAGATGGATCCGGTGACATGCAGATCTGGCAACGGCTGACAGCGAAAAAGATCCGGTGACGGTGAGGGCAACGGCTTGTGATGGCTGTAGCTGCGGCGCGATCGGCAGCAGTAGAGATGCGATCAATCCGACGAGGATGAAAAAGCTTCGGCGACTGCTATGAATCGGTGATGCGACGGCAGTCGAGGTAGCAGTGGCAGAGATGCAATCGGCAGCGGTTCAGTTGAGCTTTGGCAACGTCGTTGTTGTTTGAAGTCATCGGTAGGTAGCGGTTCACGGAAGATCCAGATCCGGCGATGGCAGATCGCCGGTGGCCGTAGGCAGCAGTTCGGCTGTGGCGTGTGAGGGGTTTGTCGTATTTGTATGGGTATGGGTATGGGTATGTGTATGGATATGTGTAAGGATATGGGTATGTATATGGCTATGTATATGGCTCAAATGGGTATGTATATGGCTCAATGAATTTAAAATAAATTTAAAGAGATTCAAAGGTCTGTTAGGTACGATTCAAGGATGGCTCTGATACCATCTTGAAATTCAAAAAAAGAATACGAGGATTAATAACTCAATTCAATAAATTCACAATGGTATTACATTCAATTTATAGAGTACTACCTAGCTAAAATAGGTAACTAAATATACAATACTTGGGAAACAAATTACCTATCAATTAGTCCTAAATCACGGAGTAAATAATTTAATCCTACAGTTGTAGGATCTGTATAATCCCGGATTATAATAGGTAAAATCTCAACAGATACCCATCCAGGATTTTTGGAGATCTTTCAAACTCAAAGTGAACAATTTGAAATGTGTCATTTCCAGGCTCATAAAATTTAAATTTTAACCATCCACAAGAATTCCCCGTACAATAAAAATGATGCTCTGATTATGATACAGTACTGAATTTGAAATACGACAAAAGATAAGAAGCAGGGAGTTTTGTTTGTCGACAATACATGAACAAACTAGAAAATATGTTGCATAACAACATATAAATTATAAAATGTGTAAAGAAGAAACAGAGATTCTCTTTCAAAATGGTTGACTGATATCTGAGCCATTGATACATACCGTTGGACCAGCTATTAAAGAAGTTCCAGAATCTGCAATCGCGGAACAACTACCACTACAGTACCCTGAATTTAAAAAGACAAAAAGAAAAGAAAAAAGATGATAATGTCAACCAGCATGATAAATAAGGATCTTTACTAAGCCATCATCCTCCCCCACCCAACCCCAATGGTAGTTGTCAAGTGTCAAAAGAAAGCATACCAGTTGGTTTATCACCAATGAGAATGTCGCCCATATCAAACTATGGACAGAAAATAACGAATATAGTAAGAGAATGAAATGGAAAACACACTAAACAAGTAGCTACCACTGTAAAATAGAAGGTCTGAATGACCAACCTGCCAATAGCCTTTCTGTGTCAGTGGAACATATGTGTGCTTACCCTTGTAGTGTTTTGGATCAACTCCACCAAACACGATTTCACCCCCTTTTTTTTCCTCCACTTTTCGGTTGAGCCAAAATGAGAATACTGGCTCCTTAACAAGACGTTGTTTGACCATGTTTTCCCTGTAACATACACAGCAGTTTCATCTCAAAAACAGAATTTTCAGTAAATGCAGTGATGAATTTCAAACAAACAGTGCTCCAGATTAGTGAATGAGTTGACACGTGATTCAATTTTCATAAAGAACATGCCCAAGAATTAAAAGATAAAAACAAAAACACTCAACAGGAAAAGAGAAAAAAAAAAGAGAAAGAACTTTCACACAACAAAAATACGCAATAGATGAACTACTCATTCCTAGTTGAAAAGCCTAAAGTAAATTAATAAAAGCAGTACACATATACCACACTGGAACAGCATTTCCAACTGAAATTTCACGGAAGCCAAGTCCAAGTATACCATCAAACTTGGCCACTAAAAATGTGACACTGGGCTCACTAGTTGCCTCGATAAATTCCTGATAAGAACACAACATGAGAATAGGCAATTCAATTAAAATAATAGTCAAACCAGAAGGGAAAATGCCTCGATTTACCTGATTCTTGACAACTAGATCGCCCACTTTGACATTGTCTTGACTAAAGAATCCGGAAATAGAGCCAGTACCGTAGTGAATTTCAGCAGATTTCCCTGCACATAGATGGTACCAAAAATCTCTCTAAGCAGCCTTCAACAATGGTTCCATTACTCACATGAAGTCATTCCACCAAACTCATGCATGTTTATAATATCAAGAAACAAATGGTGAGTAATTACAAAGAAACAACGTTTGATATTGGGGTGATTATAATGCTTTACAACTCCACCTATATGGAGTGCATTTATGCAACAAAAATTCAATTTGACAATTCTTAACATCCCAAATATTTTGGGGGGTGTGTGTTGTGTTAGTTTATATAGTGTGCGCACCCTTCCGTATAAGTAAAATGCAGGTCATATTGATCATTCCGAAAACAACGCATAATGATATTTTTAGTCCTTACATACTTCCCTTTTTTTTCATTTTTTTTTTTTTTTTTGATAAGTAGTCCTTATATACTTACCAAAAAAAATATTTTTAGTCCTTAGAAAATAAAAGCACTTACATCTGCCATAGGCACAAGTCAAGCCTAGCCCACTAAAAGTAAAAAAAAAAAAAAACAATTGAGACTCACACAGTTAGGAACAAAAGGATTTCTGGACTCTTCATCTACATAATTATTGATGTTAAGATGGAAGTAATTGCAAGATAACATCAAGTATTTCTCAATAGAATAACAGATCTGACAACAACACTAGACCATCAGAAACTGAAATGCTTGATACCAAGAACATCCTCATTCCAATGTTCTCTGCCATCAAACAACAATAAATCCCATGCTTTATTCATCACTTCTTTCTACTTCCAATGTTGTCCCCAATGCACAAAATAATAATAATAATAATAATAGTAAATAAATAAAGGAAAAGGAAGTAAAGAAAAATCATCCATCAAATTAGTAGTAAGAACTAAGAATGCACAAGCTGTCAGTGCAGCCAGAGAAGTTGTCCATAATTACTGATTATTGAAGTCAACAATAACAAGCATAACAGAACACACACTACATGCAGCTGTGGAATGGCAAAAGGACAACATAGAACAGTTAGCATATTACACTGAAATAAAAATAAAAATGAGTTCTGTTATGAGCAAGATGAAGTGATTTTGTTTGCGTGTCCACAATGTGTATAATACAAAGGAAGTTAACAAACCATTCTCCTTGTAGGTACTTGATTGGCTTGACTTGTACTTTGAATGGAAATAACATGGAACCTGCACCAGAAGGCATGGGAATGATTTTATTTTCTGTTGCCTCCGATCATCTTATATTTCACATCACATGGATAAGTAAAAACTTACCGAAAATAAGCACTTTGATGATGGCACCCACAGATTAGCGCTGCCTGTGTCAAAGATTACAGTAAACTTTTGAGGGGGTGTCCCAATACCAATCTCGCCAAAATACTGAGCATCCATGTAGTTCTTTAGTGCTACAATATCTGTATCTTCAGAGTGTCCAAGCTTTCCACGGAGATGATACTTCCTTATAGAAGCTCTCAATGACTCCCCTTCCTTGGACTCCAGCCGTGCAGCAAGCCGGTTATTTTGATCAAATTTCATCTTTTTCAGTCCAATTCTAATCAACCCATCATTGGACACAGAACAGGCTAGTGGAAACAAGAAGGATGACAGGAACATAGACACCAGAATGACTTTCAATTTGATTCCCATTTTAACCTATAGAACATCAACCGAAATATAAACATCAGAATGAAAACAACTAGTACTAAAGCTAATTGAAAATTTAGAAGGCCTGGTTAGACAATGTAAAGTGAGGTGATAGACAGACATTCAATCCTCCTGAAATTAGCATGAAAACTACAATTAAACAAATACACACACACACACACACATATATATGCATACATACAAAAAACTTAATCCAAGAGAACATATCAACCAATCAATAACATAAATCCCCAGCTAATTAAGAAAACTAAAAATGATCAATAAATTGCACCGCGACAAGAATGTTAGATATTAGTTCTTTGTTTGTTCAAACGGATGAAATAATGCGGGAAAAAGTTCATTTTCGTATTTGAAAAGATTTAATACTATCCGAATAGTAATTTACGAAGCATGATATATTTTCCTCAAAGAATCTATCAACAATAAGGAAAAAAAAAGAAAAAAAAAAAGAAAAAGAAAAAGTTAAAAAAAAGGAATCTATGCAGATATCATTTCCAATTGAATATTGAAACCATGGTTCCTAACAAAAAGAAATTTGTCCCTTAGCTTGCCAGCCAAAAGAAACCAAGTAAAAGAAAGACACTCAATAATTGAATATTAGGCTATTTAAGTTGTTTCATTTTCCCCCAAGGACTTCAAAATGAAACAACTAAGCTGTATTAATCTGGCTATTTCTGCTCTCCCTTTAGAAACAATAAGAAATTTTATGTTTCCAAAATATATATATATATATATATTTTCTTTTGTATTGTTTTTCAGATCAACCAAACAGAAAACACACTTGTCGGGAAAATCTAGAAAAAGCACAACTTGATTCTAATCAACCGTCAAAACCATACAAAACAATAATTTAATTCACCAATAACAGATGCAAGGCTCAAAATCGAAAATAATGTCGAATGTAGTGATTAACCACAATCACAAATTACTCGTAAAAGGTAGAGTCCAAACAATAAAATAAGAAATGATATAATCGAAAACAAAATTGAAAACTACAGATCACCAAAACAATATAATATGCACAAGCCTCGTCTAAGAAAGAAAAAAAAAAAAAAACGCACAACCTATAGTCTCCAACTTGAACGAAAATCATACAAAAGAATCCGATTAAAATAACAAACAAACACAAATTAATTCAACAATCACTGAAATTAGAAACAAAAATAATAATAATCAACATTTCTCACCTATATAACGACCAATTCGCAGAACAAAAAGAGCAAAGTTGAACAAACAGATGAACTTGAGTTGATTATAAGAATATATATATAAATGAGAGAGAAAGAGTACCTTTTAAGACTTGAGATGCTAAGCATATAACTGTGTGTGTGTGTGTGTGTGTGTAGAGAAAGTTGGGAGAGTGAATAGAACAGAATAGACGAAGCAATGCAAAGGGATTGGCAGAGTTATTATAGGATTAATAACAGAGTAAGAGCTTTGTACTCATTTTGTGAGCCGTCGATTCTATGATGGACGGTGATTAGCACGAGAGAGAGGACAAGAGCCAACCAAGTTCACGTGCTTATCAAGCAGTCGGAGAAAAAGACGAGAGAGCTTTGAGAGAGACTTTATAACTGACTGCTTACGTGTCAAATAGAGTATGCATGTCGAACACCTCAGCGTGCACACGCCGACACGTCATTCGTTTTTTGCTTTGTTTCGGGTATGTGTCAATATGAGTGAGGACTGAGGACAATTTGTTATCTACACATCTATTAATTTTTGAGTAAATTACATATGTTTGATTTTTATTATTTTGATTTTTTTTTTTAAACTCAAGGACACACTCTCTACCACTAACGGAAATTTTAAAAAAAATTAAATTGTCAATTTTTTGTGTCAAAAATCTTCAGCAACTTTATATTTTGACATTAAATAACAAAAATTTATAAAATACAAAATATCAATTTTCATATCAATTTCAAATTATAAAATTTTATAATTTAAAAAAATAAGTTTTTTTTATCAAAATATTATTAAATTAGATGAGGGGTAAAAATAATAAAGGGTAAACGTCTTCTCTCTTTATGTAATTTGTTCAAATTTTAATAAAGATCAATGTAATTTCTTGCTAAAAATCCACTCAACTATGATAATTTTTAAAAAGAAAAAATTTTAAAAAAAAATAATAATACTAAGGTTTCATAGAAAAAGTTGCAAATTTCTTGTTAGCTGTTACTAAAGGAGGGGGTTTAGGAGTATTTTGGGTAAACCGATCTTAGAATAGTGTAGGACAATGAAATCAATTGAGTTGAACCAAATGAATTGTAAATGATGTAGAATTTATCATATCTTACTTCTTGAATCGTGATTGGTCAGAATTATTTAATATGGACCATGAAAATTTCTCATAAATAAATGAGTTCGATTTAGTTTGATTCTATTATTTTGTGTTTTACTTTTATAAGTCAATCCAATAACTAGTTCCGGGTACTCAACCTAATTTTTTATTTTTATTTTTATTTTTCTAGGCAAGAAACAAACAGGCCCCACTCTCACACACGCTTATTTTGCCTAAACCACAAAATTTTTTTATTTTTATTTTTTTTCATCCTACACTACAGTTAAACCTTTTACCTATCACTTTAAAAAGAGAGGAAGTATGACAGGGTTACAAATCAAAGGCGACACAATTTTTTTAATGAAAATCAAACATGTCCGAATCAACAAAGTACTAACCAACTAGTATTATATTTCTATCATATATAATAATTTTTTTTATATCAATTCAGTTCGATCCTAAAAGACTGTAAATCATATATATATGTATATATATATATAGGGTAAGTGTACCGTGTACACGACCCTTACCCGTTGATTTTTGCTTGTTAAGAAACAGAAAGTGTATGTAACACATGACGTTCACTTGCAGAAAAAGAAAAAACCAAGTTGGGCTTAAATCAGTAGTAGGTAAGGATCTCTCTTGCAGGAAAAGAAAAAACAAAGTTGGCTTAAATCAGTCATAAGTTTTAAATGGGTTAGTGGTAGCCTACGTATTTTATAAAATTTGATTACTTATATAAAGGTTTTTAAAATATCTTATAAATATATTTATTTTTTATTTTATATCACAACCAACAAGTTGTAACGGGATTCTAACGTCAAAAAACCCGTTTGACAATAAGTGCAGCGATTTGGTAAGAATTTCAGTAAGAATGATCTACTCACGTGAGTAGGTGTTACGGGATTTGGACCTTGACAAGCCCCCTGATAGTCATGGGATGCTGTCAGCGTGCACTGGGTGTGCCCAGTGGCATTTTCTTAAATATGGTGAAAAAGTGAAGTTTGGAGTTTTGGCTCGGGATCTTTATGGGAGATACCTTGAGTCCATAGAAGATGATTGGCGTAGACGGCACTCGATTTGGATGTCGTGCACTTTGAGACATTTATATGTGGGTGCAGATTAATGGGCTTAGCACGGGCTAAGTTCACAAGGTTGGCTCAAATGTTGCTTAAAGCATGGACCACACAAAGTCATGGACGTGTGGCATAGTCAAATCAGGGACATGGGCACAAGGCAATGGGCGTAGGCAAGGCTCAGCGTGCAAGGTTGGCTCAGGGGACTCAGACATGGCTTATGGTTACAGAAGATGGCTAAATGGGCTCAGGTGGTTGGGGGAAGTTACACTTCCCACTAAATGGGCTTAGTTGGTTGGGGAAAGTTACACTTCCCGTTAAATAGGCTTAGTTAGTTGGGAAGAAGTTACTAACACTTCCCATTAAGTGGGCTCAGTTGGTTGGGAGAAGTTACACTTCCCACTAAGTGGGCTCAGTTGGTTGGGGGAAGTTACTAGCACTTCCCACTCATGTGAGGAGTGGGGGTGTGCTGAATAACTTCCCATCCATGTGGCATAAATTTGAGAGGACAACACATAGGCAGTTGGAGGTGGTTTCTTCCACTATGCTGAGTGCAACTTCCTGTGGACACGTGGCATGAACAGAACATGCCAATAAACTAGTAGTTGGGCTTGTCAACTACACATGTAGTATTGGCACACTTAGTGGGTGCCAACATGACCCTAGGTGGATGGGGGTGTCATCCACCACTTTAGTGGATAGTTGTGGGTGGATGGGGGTGTCATCCACCACTTTAGTGGGCAGTTGTGGGCGGTTTTGAGAGTTTGCCTATATATTGCTAATGTGGGTTCTGTTGTGAGAGCAGATTGAGAGTGAGACGCAGAGTTGTGTTGTAAGAGACTCTTGTATGCTTCTGCAGGTTGAGGCCTTTCCTTGTACTGTTTTGTGAATAATAGTAAAAGGTTGGAAGCCTTGTGCTTCTGTAAAATCGTGGGTGTTATTGTCTTTACATTCTTGCAACTATACTTGTGTGTCAGAGTGTTTTACTTGTTGTGTGTTCTAGGCAGCAAGTGTGAGTTGGCTGAGCTAAGTTAGAAATTCAGAGAAAAGTTGTTCATATTTCTAGCTTAGTGCCATCATAGGCCACTAGATTCGTGTTAAGAATTTACCCCTGTGATAGTAGGCAAGTTTCGTCCGTAAGCAATTATATTTAACTCTATCCCAATAAATCTCCTCCACATTGAAGGTGTTTTAAAATATTTGACTATTTATATAAAGATTTTTTAAAATATCCCTTAAATATATTGATTGTGATTTATAATAGAAAATTCCAATCGCGCCTAAGACCTCTTATGCAAAATTATGGAGAGTGAAACTTCCGGTACATCATTGGTAGTGGCAGATGGAGTAATCTTGGCCTGAGGTAAGCCAATTGTAGAGGCCGGTGTGCAAGACTTGAGAACAAGTCAAAGTCTTAGAGAGAGAAGAGAATACTTGTGAGAGGGTGAGAAATTCGGTGAAATACTGATGAGGTTTCCGAAGACCTAAGCTCGGATTCCAGTGAGACTCCGGCGAAGGTTTTAACTTCCAATCCGGATTTCGGTGACCGTTTTAATGAGCAAAATTAAATTCTGGCCAACATTTTAGTTACAAAACTATAAAATTCTAAAACGTTGGTAAGAGTTTCCAACTTACATACTCCATATATATTGATATACTTGTTTAAAATATAATTTTCTTAAATCATATTTTATTTTGGACGAATAATTGGACAGAAATAAAGACATGATTTCATAGGATGACACGCTATGAACATACATACATATTATTGAATTTGGCTTAATTGATTTCTAGAGATAGTGCTGTTATTTGATATTCCGACTATACCTACAAGATGTTTCAACTATCTTCAAGAAGCGATTACGCGTCTCTAAACCTTGATTTGAAATTATATTTAATCTTATTATTATGTTATTTCAAATCAAAGTAAAAACTTTGAGATACGTGCCCCTGAGCCTTGTTTATGTAAGTGTATATTTATATATGTATGTATATATAAAGTGTATATGTATACATGAATTATATGTATTATGTGTGTATGTATTTATGTGCATATAATCTTGAGTTCGATTAATAAAAGAGCTGAATTCAAACAACCCACTGCTAGGCGTGTGTTAGTGAGCATGCTTGTCAAATGGTGCGTTGTAAGTTTGCCTATATAAATATACATATATAGGTTAAGAAGGCTTATGAAATGCGGAGTATCAAATTTCATTTCAACCCATAAAAGTCCAAGTAAAGTCCAATTCAACCCACCTTATTGCAGAAGAATATATATTTATTATTTATAGTGTCCCACCGTGTGTGTCTGTGTCTTAATTTTTTTGAATTCATTGTGTCTTAATTTTTTTTAACTTATGGTGTCGTATTGTATCTATATCTCCGTTTCTGTTTTTGTGCTTCTTAGACTTTCAGATTTAGCACAAATTATAGTCAAAGTAGCTCAACGAGATTAAATGCTGGATTGTTGGGAGAATTAGCCTTATGTTATATGTATGTGTGGAATATATATATATATATATATATATATATATTTATGATTAGCTTATTTTTCATAACTCGTTAAGTGGGCTAGACTACTTGATGTATCAAAAAAGGTGGATCCAATTGCAGGGCTGAGCCACGTTGAGCACTCTAGAAACTAATCCAACATATACTGCTTATTTCTTGTTTATGGACCACAGTCCTTGGAGCCCAAACATTATCTGCAACGGTCCTTTTTGTAGCTCAGGGTTTTAAGCCCACTTTTTCACAACGTTTCTTCGGAAGAACAAAACCCAAGTTGGAACTTATGTTTGTTTTGTGTTGTTTTGTTTTATAGGTTCTGTTAGATTGTATCAAAGTAGTGGCGTTGTTGGTGCACAAAATCTATGCTTTCAAAATCTATTCTAACATGTTTGGTTAATTAATTATTAACAAATATATATATATATATGGTCACAGAGAATAATTTAATCATTACAAAAAAACTAAATAAATAACAAGAGTTAAAGTACTACTTATTTTAGTT